CAACATTCATAATGTAAAGTCATAAAAGCAAAACAACCCATCACAGTAATAGGAAAATTTAATTCAAATACAACTTAAATAACCATAAGTTAATTGAAAAATAAAATTTACCAAAATTAATACAAATCATAAAAAAAAGTGAGTAACCTAATATTTATAAAACAAATTTATTTTATTATCAAAAAGTTGACCCACCAAGAAATGTTCAGGCCCAGATTTCCTTTGTAAATTCTATCAAACACTTAAGAAAGAGATAACACCACTCATACACAAAATCTTTTAGGAAATGAAGGAGAAGGGAACACTTCCCAATTTGTTTTATTGAGGTCAGCATAACCCGAATACCAAAACTTGGCAAAGATATTACAAAAGAATGAAAATAACATACTAATACCCCCCATGAACACAAACACAAAAATCATCACTAAAATATCAGCAAACTAAATTCAGCAATGCATAAAATGGATAATATGCCATGACCAAATGGGTTTATCTTAGAAATGAAAGGTTGATTTAATCTTTGAAAATCCTAATAAAAATAAGATTTTTAAAATTAGGCAAGTTGAGGGAAAAATAAAGATGCACAAATAAACATAAATTCTAAGAAAAAAGATTAATATACAGAGAATAGCTCCACCACATATTAAAACATAATATAAGGTTATAATAATTAAAGCCATTTTGTACTTAAATAAATAAATAAATGGAATGGAATGGAGAATCCAGAAGTACACAGAAATACACATAGAAAAGTAATATACTCATATGATAAAAGTAGCATTTCAGCACAATGGGGGAAAGATGAAATGCTGAATAAATGATATTGAGAAATCTAGCCTACCGTCTGGGTAAAAGAAATAAAGCTTATTGCATATCTTTTTCCTTTCTGAGGGCAAATTTTAGATGAAATATAAATTTAACTGTTTTTAAAAATAGAATTACAAAATAACTAGAAGAGAACTGGAAAATTTATTTTATTACTACCATGTAGAGAAAAACTTTTGCAAAAAGACATAAAGTTAGATACCTTGAAAGGCCTATAAATTTGACACCTAAAAATTAAAGGCCATAAACATAGCATTATAAAGTTAAAAGAGATATAAAGTGGTAAAAAATATTTGCAACATATATGGCAGAAAAGGAACCAAGCTCCATGATATATAAATAGCTCTTACAAATCAATAAGAAAAAATCCAATACCACAATGAAAAACACATGGGCTATGATCCTAAATAGGCAGTTCACATAAAGATAAGTAAAATGGCTTTCTAACCTAAGAAAAACACACTCGATTCAATTTCCTTCAAATTCTAGTGGTGCAAATTAAAACAAAAATAAAACACTTTAATGTACCTCACTGGCAAAGTAAAAATGTTTCATAATACATAATATTTGTGAGGGTGTGTGGAAAAGGAACTTTCATACTCTGTGGAAGCATCAATTGATACCACCTGTTTGAAAGGCAATTTGGTAATATCTACCAGTTAATTCTCACATGACTTTGACCTAATATTCTACTTCTCAAAATTTACATTACAGGTACATTTGCACATTTGTGTAAAGTCCTATTATAGGCAAGGCTCTTTATAGCAGCATCGTTTCTCACATGACTTTGACCTAATATTCTACTTCTCAAAATTTACATTACGGGTACATTTGCACATTTGTGTAAAGTCCTATTATAGGCAAGGCTCTTTATAGCAGCATCGTTTGTAGTAGCAAAGGTAAAAATAAATATCCATCAATAAGGGGCTGAATAAATAGATGAGGCTTAAAATGGAATACTGTGCACTATTAAAAAGACTGAGATTGATCTGCAGATGAATATATAATAAGTTTCCAAGGTATTTCATTGGATAATATAGCATAAGTCATGAAAGTTTATGAATGTGCTCCCCTTGGGTAAAATAACATGTAATGAATGTATGTATAAACATACATATATACACACAGAGACATTCTTATTCTTTTACATTTATAGACTATTTCTTCAAAAATATACAAGAAACTTCTGACTAACACCTGTGGAGGGAATGCTGTAAAACTAAGACTCTGGGGTGGAAGAAAGAAGTCTTAAAAATAAATATTTTTTTGCTCAGCATCATTAATCATCAGGGAAATGAAAATCAAAACCACATGGAGATGTCAACTCACCCTAGTGAGACTGGCTCTTACCTTCACTATTCTCCCCTGGGTTCCCCCAGCTTTCAGTACTGAACTGGTCTCTGTGACTATTTTCCCTGCATGTGCCACCCCCACTGTACCATTTTCTCAAGTCTGAGCCACCATACTCACTTGTCCAGTGACATCACTCACCCTAGTGAGACTGGCTCTTACCTTCACTATTCTCCCCTGGGTTCCCCCAGCTTTCAGTACTGAACTGGTCTTTGTGACTGTTTTCCCTGCATGCGCCACCCCCACTGTACCATTTTCTCAAGTCTGAGCCACCATACTCACTTGTCCAGTGACATCCCAGGGAAGACAAACTTGCCCAGGCAGATGCGATAGATGGCACTCAGGGGAATCCGCTGTAGCTGCACACAGCTGAGCATGATGAAGTCGTATTTGCAGATCAAGAGAGTCTTGTCTGTGACAAGCAAAATCCTCTCCTTCTCATTATTCCAGTGGTCTATCCTGCAGGAATCATCACAGAGAAGAAAAGTTGATGACATAGCCTTTCCAAGTACATCCACCAAAACATCTCTCCCAACACAGAAGACAATAAGGTTTGATCACCTCAGAAGAAATAGGGTCTGAGAAATACCTAATGCCACCTCCTCTCTCCCAGTCTATTCCCATGAGTAAGGGAAGGGGAGGAGGAAGATGACGGGGAAATGTGTGCATGTGTGCACGTGCATGTGCACACATGTGTGTGTGTGTTCCATGAGGGCACAGACTGTCAGACTACTCAGTCTATCCAGTTCCTATCAAATAGACTGCACTAATTAAACATCTGTTGGGTGAATAAATGAATGTCAATTATAGTCATTTTGGAGGCCTTTGGATAGCGTGATGGTGGGGGTGCAAACTTCCAAATCTATCACTTACTAACTCTGTAAGAGTGGACTTTCAACCTTTCTATGGTGCAGGTTCCTTATCTGTGAAATGGAAACAGTACTAGCACTCACCTCATGAGTTTAGAGGATTAAGGAAGACGATTCTCAGCCAGGGCTCTGTAAAATAGCTGCTGTTATTACTGGCAGGGACCTAAGTCACTAAGTGACTTTGAGTAACTCAAATATATGCCACTCTAAAGACAGATAGGCAAGATGAAGTCAGGAATTGAATCGATGGGAGGAGAAACAGAAGAAAAAGAGAAATGAAGGAGAAAGAAAGAGAAGCAGAAGAAGGAGAAAAAGGATGGGACCATTGACTGAGGCCCTAGTGTGTGCCAGCCAATATGATTTATAAGAATTAGCTCTACATCTCACCCCAACACTTTGAGGAAGGTTACATCCAAAGTCACTCAGCTAGAGTATGACAGCTTAGTTATTCGTTTAGTGGCAGGAAACATCACAGAGTCCAAGAGATCTGGCTTAAATCTTGATTTTACAGTTTCCATCCATCCCAATACACAGTGATACTCAACTCCCACTTTGCTGAGAGAATTTGTGATAGTCTTAGTCAGAAAGAAACCGGGGGCTCTGAAAAGTCTTACCAGATATCTACATACACTTCTCAAAATAGATTGCATCTACTTAGCAATAAGTTATAAGCTGCTGCCTAATAAACCAGACTTGTTTTAGTCTGAAAAACTGCAGCTTTTGGTTGAATGGTATTACTGAAAATGTCAGCACTCCATAATGAGATTTATTTTAAAAGGTAAAGGATTCGGGAAAAAGGAGAATTCTTTTTAGGAACACAGAGTGCTCTGCTGTGACACAGACTCTGCATAATTTACATGTCGGGAATGTCTGAATTCAAGTAAACACACAGGCTTATAAATAGTTTGGGGCCACCATCTCTAGCTCTTGGGTGGTATATTTATTTATTTAGACTTCAATCACACCTTTCTTCTTCTAAAAACTCATGGAGAAAACATTGAATTACATATTCCTAATATCAATACCATCAAAGTTTGGTGATAATAACAATAACAAATATAGGAAAATAAATAACAATAGTGTACCATGTTTGTATAGCTCATGGAGGTTTACAAAGTCCTTGAATATCAATGCTCCTATTTAATCCTCACAATTACACGTTGGACTAAATGTTATTACCCTAACTTTAAAGACAAGGAAATTGAGATCCACAGACCCTTAAAATTTTACATTTAGCAAGCCATATGCAGGGACCTGAAATAGGTATTGAGACACCAAATCCAAGCACTGTGTTTGCTTTCTCTACAGTACCACCCATCTCCAAAAAAGGAGCCCACCTCCACAACGAGGACCTGAGTGTGGTGTGTAAGTCACCTCCTCCGAAAGGAGATGAGGTGATGATACATACCACACACAGAATTGTTCTCTCTAGCAAACTTCTTCTGCTAAACAACACTCATGACGGTGTCTTCCCAACCTTTTCCTCTTTCAGTGTTTCCTATCTTGGGGAAGAACCCTCCCTACATTCAATTATGCAAGTTGGAGACTTACGAGTCATCCAGGCCTCGTGGCATTTCCTCTTCTTACGTGCCAAGGCCGCAACATTTTATTCTCCAAAGGTCTCTCAAAACCACCTACCTCTCTCCATCTTCAACTTCACCATCCTAATGCAGACTTCCTTCGTCTCCTACCTGGACTTCTGCAATCACCCGCTCACTAGGCTTGGGCTACTAGCCACCTAGATCTCGTTTACCTGCATCTACTCTTGCTCCCTTCCAAACTCTTTCCCTACTGCAGTGAGAGGGTTCTTTTGAGAAAAAGAAATATGGTCTTCTCACCTTCCCACCCTGGCTTAAAACACTTCAACAGTTCCTCATGGCCATTATGAGAAACAATAAAAATTCTTAAACTGGTCTAAGCGGTTCTGCCATGTCAGGCCCTACCTACTTCTTTAACCTCATCTCAGGCCAACTCTCTCCACTCCATTCTCCTTGACCTTCATTCAGATTCTTGTATTCACCATGTCCCCTCCAACTTAAGGGCCTTTGCACATGCCATTCCCTCTGCTGGTAATGTTCTACCTGATCTTCTTCACCACGTTAACTCTTACACAGCTGAGTCCCATGACCCATTATTCCAGCAAGCCTTCCCAGACCTCTGTGACTATTTCTTCTCTTTCTAATATACACTTTCATAGCCCCACACATTTCTCCTTCATGGTACATACCCCGGATACAATTATGGTACTTATCCTAGATGTAATTTTATAGTTATTTCTACAATATAATTATTATTTTTTTCTTTTTTTGTCTTTTTTCGTGTCCGGCAATGGATTGCAACCCTCAGTGTCGCGCCTGTACCGGACCAGGACCGGCAACGGGATCACAACCCTCGGTGTTGCTCCCGCACCTCGCTCAGCCAGTGAGCGGGAACCGGTCTGTATGTGGGATCCTAACCCTCGGCGGGAGCGCAGCCGCGCTCCCAAGCGGCGCACTGTAGCAGTGCGCCACAGGGCCGGCCCTACAATATAATTAATTTTTGTCTCCTCTTCTATACTGTAAATTCTTCTAATACAGTCACTTCTTAACATTGTGTCTCCAAGATTATAGGTGTCAAAAAATACTTCTAAAATGAATTAGTGAAGGATGAACAATGCTTGCTCTGTGAAACTTCTGTGCCTTGGCTCATGCTGCTTGGGGAATCTGATCTTCAGGTTTACACATTGAAATACTCCCCCGTATAAAAGCACACTTAACAAAAAATCAGTAACATTGGAGGAAATGTTCATGCCGTAATAGAAAGAGAAGGATTCAAAATGCTACCTACAATATGCTTCCAGTTTTGTAACAACAACAACAAAATAGTACACATGTCAAAATGTTAACACTGATTATTTTTGAGTGGTGGGATTTCAAGTGACTTTTATTTCTTTTCATGCTTTTATTTGACAGTTTAATTCTTTTTTTTTTTACAATAAACATATTCTACTTTTTTGATAAAAGAATTTTTTTTAATTTAAAAAAAAAACTCACCTATCCTTTAAATTCCAGCTTAAGTGCTATTTCATGGAGCCTTCCCTTCACCTCCCTCACCCTCAAGGGGATGTCATCTTTCCTTTGCTTAAATACACATAAGCCTTTATCAGTGCCTCAACTGTGGCCCTTGTCACAATCTTCTCTGTATTACAGTGATTTCTGTACTATTACCCCTCCCCCACATTAAATGAGATCCCCTCTAGTGCAGAGTCAGTGTCTTATCCATATCTGGGCCTCCTCAATGTACCCAGCACAGAGAGAGCAGGTTCTCTGCAAATGAGCAGGACAGGGAATGAAATAATAGAACCGTTAAGACCCATCCCCTCCATTGTGAGTCTGTCTCCTCTGGCAGAGAATTCGCTACATCTCTCCTAGCCTCTGTCCCTAAGCACCAACTTTCCCACACGACTGGAAGGAGCCTAGATCCCCTCAGGTAAGAGAGCACTCTGGAGCTCCGTGAGCCTGCGGTTTCTTGGGATGGCAACAGTTTCACCAGCAGAGGGCAACAGCGAACTGGGAATGACCGGCAGTACCGCGATTTTCAGGACCCCCACCCCTTTACTCAAATCATCCCAGATGTCATCCCAGGGACCCCATCCCCACGCCCAACAATACTTTCAGCTGCTCTCTTAAAGCAGTATCAAATCGATTTGTGGTTTGGAAATGATTTCCTTCCAAGAAAGATTTTCTTCTAATAGATTCTGTCTCTCTCTCTCCCCCGCCCCACTCCCCTCTACTCAGTCAGTAGAGGCATCTTCTCCGATGTTGAATAGAGTGGCTATCCCTTATTTACAAATTAATCTCCGTGCACCCCTCAAACCTCTTAGCATAGCCCAGCCCTTAAAGAGGAAGACAGTATCTTAGCTAGCCAGGAATCAGCAACCCAGGAGGGAAACACTGAATCATTCATTCTGCACATATTCCCTGAGCACCCACTGGGTTCCAGGCCCTGAAGAGAATCCAATTTGGGTTTGCTCTTCAAACACAAACAGATGAAAAATGCATGGCATTAAAGCAAAGTGATTTTCCTCCCCCTGATTTAAGTGGTGTCTTATAAAACCTTTAACTAAATAATCCACATGAATTTCTTTCAATAGTTTGGTTACTCTTTCCCTGGGCCTCTCCAAGTTGTTTAAAATAGGGACCCTCAAAATCAGCACGGTATTCTAATAAAAAGCCAGTGTCCACCAACCTTCCCCATTGCCAGGCCTCCTGACTTGACTTCCTCGAGTTGTTTCTTTCCCCTCTACTGTACGCAGCCAGTCATGGACCAGGCTCCGTGCTAGTTACCAGGAATACTGAGAAGACCACAGCTCTTAAGGAACACACAATTCTCTGAGATCTGAAGGACGTGGCACCCAATGGTGCTGTGAGATTTAACAAGGGTGACACAAGTCCACAGGGGCAGAAGCCTGGTCTCAGAACTCCACAGGACTAAGGAAAAGCAACCCCAGGCATCTATTCAATGTCCTTGAAGAATGTCTCTTTTCAACACTTAGTTTACTGCTGTTTGGTGAAGATCTGTGTTGGAAGAGAACAAGTTGCAAAGTACAAA